TTTAGGGTATAAAGAAGGGAAGAGTTATCTTGCACTATACGTATTCTCTATCATGTTCGGTAGAATAAAAAAAAATATGAGATGCTTTTTTTTTGTTGAGAAACGGATTCTGTGTGATATTTTGAGAATACACTTCAGATGTTTCTCATGTAATATAAGAATTTTTTTCACGTTTCAAATCTACGAATCGCAATCGCCATCGTTTCTGAGTATAGTACCGTCTTAGAATTTGTATGCTCCTCTTCTTGTTTTGATAACGAAATTGGATTCTTATTCTTAGCTTCATTCTTTTGTCTTCTCTTTCGATTCTTCTTTGTTACCAGCTCGGTTTTGGCAAATGCTTGAATGTTTTCATTGTTTCTTTTCGTAGGTTTTGGTCTGAAGGAAGAGAATTTTCGGACCGGGACAGGGCGAATTTGTCCCTTCTGTGTTGCCTTTTTTCGTTCTTGACCGTTTCCTCAATCTAAGAAACTGAATTCTGATGCAATAATCCTCCCATGGAATGATATTAAGCAGTGATGTGTTTCTTGAATTTTCTGATCTTCTAATGTCATGAAGAGGAGAGTCTCTAGTAAGTTTAAGGAGTTATGGAGACCGGAACAAGCGTTGTCAACAGCGGAAGCAGCAGAAAGGAGAGCTATGAAGCAATCAAGAATGGATCATGGTTTAATCAGTTTCGTAATGGCTGCAATCCCTGGTTGGCTAGATATGTATACGGTCTCATATTCCTCATCGCGAATCTACTAGCATGGGCTGCTCGAGATTATGGTCGACGTGCCTTAACAGAAGTGACAAGTATGTGCAACTAAATCAGGTTTCAATATCGTTCCTTGTCTTACAAGTTGAACGATGCTGATGCAACTCTGTTTTTTTAATTTGTTCATATTACAGAATTCAAGAACTGCAAAGGCGGCGAAAACTGTTTGGGAACCGAAGGAGTGTTAAGGGTTAGCTTGGGATGTTTTGTATCCTTTCATGATTTAGTCGTTACATACTAATATAACTACTTCAAATGTTATATGTTTATCAAGTCACTATATCAGAATGTTTTGGACTTAACCATTATATTCTCAGTTGTTTTACTTTGTTATGTTTCTTTCAACACTTGGCACGTCGAAAACGCATTCATCAAGAGATAAATGGCATTCTGGATGGTGGTCTGCTAAGCTTATCATGTGGCCGGCCTTAACGATCATTCCTTTCTTACTACCTTCTACCATTATTCGCCTTTACGGTAAGGCTTGATGAGAACAATCCCCTTCTAATACTCTTTCGAATTCAATTGGCGTGACGAGTAAAATTGTCTTTTTTTTTTTCTTTGGTTTGATTTTCAGGAGAGCTTGCCCATTTTGGTGCAGGGTAAGATTGATCTACCCAACTTCACAATAAACATATGATCATGAAAATCACCAATCTTATTATTGTTGTTTCTTTATTTTATAGGGTATTTTTACTGATACAACTAATTAGTGTGATCAGTTTCATTACATGGCTCAACGAATGCTATCAGTCCCAAAAAGATGCAGAAAGATGGTTAGTTTTGATCTCACCAGAAATTTTAGTTTTTTTTTCTTCAAATTTATACTAATCAAGCAACAATCTTTATAATGTTTATAGCCATGTCCATGTGATGTTACTAGCAACTAGTTCATACACAGTGTGTATAGTAGGGGTGATTTTGATGTACATATGGTATGCGCCTGATTCGTCATGCCTTCTCAATATATTCTTCATAACTTGGACTTTGTTTCTCATCCAACTCATGACAAGCATCGCTCTCCACCCTAAAGTAAGTCCTTTCTGTATCCATCATAATCCATAGTTGTGTCATGTGTCTGTGTGTTTGTAAGTTATTAAGGTCTTGTTTGTTCTTGCGCCGACACAAACAGGTGAATGCTGGATACTTGACTCCAGCTCTTATGGGACTCTATGTTGTGTTTATCTGCTGGTGCGCCATTCGAAGGTATGTTATCTTTCCTTTAATTCTTCATCTCTGTGTTTTTTTCAATCTCTTAGAAATTCCAAATCATTTAAACACACCTAAATCATAAAAAAACCTACAAAAGCCCGAGAACCGGCAGTTTGGTTGACCCGGCCGGTTCGTAGTCCAAAGCAAAGTCTAATTTATTTAGTTTGCGGTTTAGGTAACTTGTGTAAAGTTAAAAT